CTCTGGAAGCAGCAGAATCTTGGGATTGGAGAGACCATTGTGTGTCATGGAATACACGTCCCTGTTCCTTGACGTAAGATGCGGCTATTACTGCAACGAAAGGAGTAAAGCGGCGCATTATCAAGCAGACAAAACGTGTTCAATTGATCGTTGCGATAGTAACCTGGGTTTCTTTATTATGTTTTTTTTTTTTAATTCAATGTGCTGCCTAGACTTACCCTTTTTCTCAGTTTCGTTTCTAGCTTGTTACCACAATTTACCTGTGGTCTGCAGCTATTATCTTAGCCAAACGAAACTAAAGAAGGCCGCAAAAAAAAAAAAAAAAAAAAAAAAAAAAAAACAAGTAGAAGAAAAAATGAGTCAGGAAAACACACACAAAAACAATTCCCATAATTTCCGGAAATACAACTTGCAAAACCGCACACCCCTAGACGTTAAAAGACTTCCCTTTTTCCAGATCCCATTTTCACGACAGAGTTTACCAGTGAATGTTGCGAATAATTCAGAAGAAAGGGGGAAAAAATATCTTTTCTTTGTCGTACATCCCCTTGTCTGAAATGGTTGCAAGGAGGTCTAGTCATAGACCTTTATGGCAGCTTTCGAGCCTTTGGGTCCCAGCTTAAGAAGCACTTCGTAGCAAATCCATACACATAAAGGTAACAACGTGAAAATGCAGACAATCGGGGGCGGTAAATTGTACACTTTAGCTCGATACTTTGACAAGTCTACTGGATCGTTAGCCCTCAGAATGCAAAAAGTGATGACCGAAATTAGTGCCGTCCAAAGAGGCAGCATTGCAGGTGTCAAAAACATTTCTTGGGGTAATGATACTACTTTTCCTTATCTATTTTTCTACTAAACGTTTATTTGCGTTGCTGTTTTTTTTTTCTTTTGTCTGTGCTTTTTGGTGTACCTTACTTTGATTTTTTTAAACTGATTTGTCACTTTATCTATCTTCTTGTGGTCCAAACCCCAATATGGTTGTATTGGGGAGAAAAAGAAAGACCAAAAAAAANTACCTTACTTTGATTTTTTTAAACTGATTTGTCACTTTATCTATCTTCTTGTGGTCCAAACCCCAATATGGTTGTATTGGGGAGAAAAAGAAAGACCAAAAAAAAAAAAAAAAATAGAAAGGAAAGGGAAGGAAAAAATGGAGGAGAGGGTTTTTGTGTAATATACCATGAATACTATTTGTACCACTTAGCACCCTATTCATTGGAAAGAAGTATCACTTATTGTGCATTTCTATATTATATAATTACTTTTTGTTATTTAGCCAAAAAGTCCAAACGAAACAGTGAGGTACAATAGCGGCCTAGGCCCCTCACTTCCTCTTTGGCGACGATCGCCACCAAAAAATTTACCAACTGAGAGTCCGGAATCTGCCCCTTTAGTACACCAGAGCAAAGGTACTGTAATCAGTTGTTGTTCTTGATGGTGTTGCTGGTGTTTTTGTTCTCCACTACACACTGCGTCACCATCGGGAATAGTCCACTCGGCAACACCCAGTAGTTTGTCGTCGCTGCTATAGACCGCTACATACAAGGGGTCTGTGCGGCAATGCACACCAAGCTGGAAGGACTCATCCCACTGAGTACTACTATTGCTACTGGAAGTAATACCTGCCTGACTGCGCACCTCTTGAAACCCATTTGTGAGCGCTACGACTGCACCATTGCTACTGATGCCCTCTACTTCTCTCACAGTGATATACGCCACGCCAATGTATCGTGGTGGGCCCTCTTCATTATCTATTATCTCTTCGTGTGGTGATATTGCCACATCTTGGGCTAATGGGTCACGTGGTGGCAACGTCGCTTGTGATACCGCGACGTTACATTCCCGCGTAAAGGCCCTATTGTACTTTAGCCTAATATAACGCTCCCTAACTTCATGCTGGGAACGAGACCCCACCGGTTTGTATACAGGCTCGCCATTGCTAGAGACATACCCTCCATACTCAAGTTCGTCGTTCAAGGTGGCATTACCACGATTTGCCATGAATGCGATATCAACTGTATTCCAAGAATCCAGCTGTGCTTCACGACACCTGTGTGGCCATAGCTGCCGGTGGACGCCAACACAGTGGATGCAAACAAAGCCACCAAACGGTTGAAGTAACCCCCATGTAGGCCATTTTGCACCACAGTCTGCACAGAACTGATTTGATTGATTGCTTGCGATACAACTTGTAAAGAGAGGTGATTGTGTTAGTCGAATAGGAATATCATTCATTACCTCTTCCTCTTCCTCTTCTTTCCCTTCACACCTTCCATTGGAAGAGTTGGTTAAGGCCTCACTACCATTCTTCTGTTTACTTCCATTCACCTGGTTCTCTTGCTGGTACTGGTAGTGGTTGTTATGACTTTGATACTCTCCATTCTTCACTTTTTCTTCACTTTTCATCAATTGTTTATCTGTCTTTTTTTTAGATTGTTTGAGTCTTTCATACTCGCGCAGGACATCCTCCAGTTGTTCCACTTCATGCAACTCCAATGGTCCATCACCAGTTTCATCCATTACTCTCGGTGGACGATATAACAATCTGTACTTCCCACTTATATCGCCAGATAAATTACCATCTTGCAACAGTGCATCGTTCTTTCTTTGCAAAGACGCCGCCGCGCAGCGTAAATGACGAATAAATCTCCACTTAAGCAATTTATCACCGGTAAAAAATAGGGCCACACACCGCCTGTTCGATGGTCCTGTATTATTATTTGAATCACGTACGCTGGAAGATTTTAACGAGGAAAAAATTCCAGAGGGCTGTAGCTGTTCCACACTACTTGGGCTCGCGAGTTCTAGAGCAAAGCAAAGACTGCCACAATGGGTACCACAGTCTACCACACGTGCCCCAGTTAAACAAAGACGTTCTTGAAGATTTTTTGCCATGGAGTTTCGTGGTTCCTCATAACAATACAGTACACCATCTGTATGTAGTTCGATAGTTCGATCCACAAATTGCCGCTTACGCCATCCCATCAGGCACGTCACTGCGCCAGAGAGCAGCAGTGTCTCCAAAGTAGCATCCATCATACAATCAAACTAACATCCAGCTGCTTATATATATATATATATATATATATATATATTTATTTATTTATTTATTTATTTAAAGGCAAAAGACAGAGAAAGAGGCATCAAGACAAAGAGAGCTCATGTAGGTAAAGTGAAATTACACGTTACAGACACACACACACACGCACACACGCATACACACTAGTAGATAAATTGATAGAGAGTAAGATATTGAGCCTAAGGAAACCTCAACACCCTCATGACGAAAAGGCAAACATTAACGTAAAACCAAAGGCAAAAGAAAGACAAATAAAAGGCGTCCGGTATGAGAGGCTAATGCTAGTGGAAGTAGCACGTTCATCATCTTTCCATACAATAATGCAAAAACCAACTCTGCATTCAAAACCTACAATCCTCACCTCTTAAATTTTTTTATTTATTTCTCAGTTTATTGTGTGCTCGATGTATTTACTTCACCTATGGAGAACGCATGCGCTTCCTTTCATGTTTACTTCCTTCGCCGCTAATGTCAGCCACTATTCGTCGCACCAACTCGTCCTGTTCCAACTCCTGCTTCTGCTGTACAGCGAGCCGCTCCGCCTCCATCTGACGGTATGTTGCCTCTTCAACCGCCATTGCATAACGACCGCGGTAATCATTCTGTACAACTTCACTAATAACAAAGGGATGCAAACCCGCGTCAACGGTCATTGTTTCAGGTATTTGTGCACCAGTCGGATGTGTGGCACGCAGAAACACTGGAAGGGTAAACAGTGCAGGTAATGACGAAGAAGAGGGTAACAAAAGAAAAACAGGTTCTTCGCTGCTTGGAGTATTAGGCAACCAAACAGCACGACTACCGCTGAATGCCGTCCCAACGTGTACAAGCTGCTGCAAGTGTGGCTCAGAGGTATCCAAACCATTGTTTTCTCCTGAAGCATCAAGAGATGGAAGAAGAAGAGAGGAAGAAACACCAGTAGCAAGCGATAACGCAGAAGCACGCCGCATCTCTGCCTCACGTTTAGAGGCAACAAGTTTCAAGGCTGCTTCACTACCACCAACGGAGGTGGCATACAGTACCGTAACTGTCATGCGCTCACCTGGAACAGCGAAGTCCCTCCAGCTCATACCACTTTCATGTGGTACAAAGAGAGAGGGTACAAAAACTGGCCATTCCTGTAAAGATACATTTGTAGTTACATGCTGAGATGTCATGGTACGCGCGTAGATTCCGTCGTCTCCGATGCGTTGGACACATACTGAAACAACAGAAAAAGTGTGAATCCCTTTTGGAAAGCCATGTACCCGCTCTATTGCCGCACCTGACTGTTGTCCTTGCTGTTCTCCTGCAAAATTGCTCATCGCCTTTCGCTCTTGCAGTGCTTGATAAAGTCGTCCAGCAAGCGCCTTACTAGAAGGTGCAGGCGTACTGGAACTACTAGTCCCCTGACGTAAACGATTCAGTAGGAGAGAAGATTTATGAAATTCTGCGGCATTTTTATCTGCACCTACAACACTACGTAACTCAGCTTCAAGATATTTATCCTGTTCATCTAATGTTGAGGAAGTGATTCTCACGTCAACCAGGTCCCATGGTAATACCTTCACAAAATTCGTTTGTGTACGAAGAAGAATAGATCTACCTTTGCGTGTTATTCCTGCATCCACCTCACAAGAAGTCATATTGTTGCCACCTTGGTTCTGTGGTAAAACAATACCACGCAGTATACTTCCCTTTGTCACATCTTTTACCGATCGACGTAGCAATAAAACTTCTTTTAATGCATGTCGTAGCTCCTCATCGGGTCCGACATGCACCAGATAGAGATCCATTGTTGAAGCAAGTGTGAGTTGGTGAGTAATGAGAAAATTATTGGCGTCATGAACTGCTGGGAATTCCATCACGATTGCAAATTTCCCAATACATCTCGACCTGACACATGCTAATGCCTTTAAATATTCTGCCTTTGCCCTCTGACTCTTATTCCCCTTTCCGTCCGCTTCCATATGGACTTCCGTGGCCGCGGTCTCCCCGCCTAGGGCTGCGGGCACAGTGAGGAGTCGCTCCTCCAACGTGACCTCCGGCGGGGGGCGGATGGACGGCGGGAGGAGGGCGGGGTCCAGCGGGCGGGGGCTGGTGAGGAGCAGCGTTGGGCCCACCCGCACTGCCGGCGGGAGGAACTCAAGTCCCCACCCCCGCCGGCCCCCTCCTCCTCTGGCATCCGCCACGTCGGCCCGCAGGCGCTCAGCGGACGAGAGGCGCTGGAATTGCACCACCGCCGCCCCGCTGTGAAACGCCCGGTCTTCCTCAAAGTACACTTCCTCAATGGCGCCGTAGCCTGCAAGCGTCCGGAACAGCTCCGCCCGCAGCGCCACATCCTCAGGCTCCACACCCACCACACGAACGCGGCGGGTCACTGCCAACTCCTGCATGCACGCACACTTTCATTAATCAATAAACATTTATTTAATCAGGTACCCACAAGCACATGTGGGAAAAAAAAAACACCAAACAAAAAATTAGAAGAAAATAAATTACACATATCCCTTCAACGCAAGTAATGTCCTACAACCATAAAAAAAAAAAAAACAACAACAACAACAACAACAAAAAGAAAATTGTATAAACAATGATATATATATATATATATATATATATATCAAAAGTAAAAGAAAAAAAAGGAAAGCAACGCCTCGGATCCACAAACCATAACGAAGAAACGCTCATCTGCTGAATTACGCGGAAGTGATGTCGGAATCACCAACGTCCGTGATGGACAGCACGCAGCTGCGGAAGTGACGGCCACAGGCTGTACCCAGATCGAGGTTGTTTCCAGTGTAGTGGTGCATGGGTGTCTTGCTCAGCGTGCAGTAGTACTCGATCTCTGCCTTGCGAATAGGTGGGCAGTTGGCGGCAATCACGACGAGCTTGCTGCGTCCCTGACGAAGTGTCTTGATCGCCTGGTGTGTACCAAGCACGTATTTACCAGACTTCATCACCAGCTGAATCTTGGTGTTGATGGTGTCCACCTTAGTCTTCGATTTCTTGGCCATTGTAGTGCTACGGATCCTGCATATTTGATATATTATACGTCGAATAGAAGAAAAATAAAGAAAAACAAAAGTAATAATAAAAAAAAAAGAGAAGCAGAGGAAAAAGAACGTACAGGAAAAGAGTCAGATAAACCAAGAATTTATGACTAAACATGGTTTACGCAATCGTTTTGGGCAAACACATGAATGCGGTGCGCAAAACTAAAAAATCAATACAAAAGAAAAAGAAAGGGCGAAAATAAAGGCATTTTGCCTTATTTCCCTATTGCCTCCTCTCATCTGCTGAATTACGCGGAAGTGATGTCGGAATCACCAACGTCCGTGATGGACAGCACGCAGCTGCGGAAGTGACGGCCACAGGCTGTACCCAGATCGAGGTTGTTTCCAGTGTAGTGGTGCATGGGTGTCTTGCTCAGCGTGCAGTAGTACTCGATCTCTGCCTTGCGAATAGGTGGGCAGTTAGCGGCAATCACGACGAGCTTGCTGCGTCCCTGACGAAGTGTCTTGATCGCCTGGTGTGTACCAAGCACGTATTTACCAGACTTCATCACCAGCTGAATCTTGGTGTTGATGGTGTCCACCTTAGTCTTCGACTTTTTGGCCATTGTGAACAGAAAAAGGAGGCTTTAAAGGTGATTCAAGAGGAGAGTAAAAAGAAAAAGAAAGCAGAAAGAAGAAAAAAAAGGAAAAGAAAGGAATAAAAAATGACAAGAAGAATTCAACAACGCATTTAAAAAACAAAAAAGACAAAAGGAACTCAAGGAGAGTTGTCATGAAAGGCTATTATATGTATTATTTTCTTTCTTCCTTCCTCTTATTTACAAATAATATTGTATTCATCCTTATCACATTCTTCATTCTCCGAAGACTCTGTGTTGTGTTTTCAAAAATACATTATCATAGAGACAGAAATACAACCTTAGAGTCAAACAGATGAAGAAATAAACCAATGATACAGTGAATGTATTGATTATTGAGCGTGTATGTCGATTGTACTGAAGTCTAGTAATAAAACAAAAAAAAAATGTATACAAAAAAAAATCTAAGGCGTTGGCGGCGGTAACAACCACCCGTACAGGCGTAGAGAAGAGCAAAAACCAGATTAACGATGCCAACTCAGCTGCCGTAATAATAACGAAAAAAAAGCAGGTACAATAACAAAAAAAAAGCAAAAAAAAAAGCTCATTAGGCGAACAAGTAAGAATAATTCAACGAAACGAAAAAAAAACAAAAAAAAAACGAGAAGACAATGAAAACGTGAGATATTTTTCTTTTTTTTTTTAAGGGAACATGTTTACAGAGTGTTTGCTTCTCTAAGAAATGCATACAAGTTTACAGATGACGAATGCAAAATGTAAACGCAGATCGCTGTGCATGAAGGTAAAAGATTATGAAGAACAAAAAAAACCTGCAAAGGCGGTTCATTTCGTGACTTCAAATGATTTAAAAAAAAAAAAAAAAGGCTCACCCAGACAAAATGCAATGTATTACAAATATAGCGAAAAAAGGGATCACACATTCCTCTTTTTTCTCCACCCGTTCATCTCTTTTTTTTTCCCCCTTCGCACTATTGATGCATAATCTTACACTGACGACACCCTCCCCTTATCCTTCCCTCACTCATTGCATCTTCCCTTCTATTTCCAATCCATAAAGTTTATACTTGTTGCCTTTTTTTTCGTGTATTTTCTTCAATTACCTGTTACTTTTTCTTCATTCTTTCGTTTTCTTTCTTTTTCTTTTAAAGTGCTGCAATGAGAGTAACTCTTTACCAGATGCTATCGTCCCCCACTCCAGTCGCTGTGAGTGACAACAAGTCAGTATTTGAGCCACTCTTCGCCATTTGCAGCGTGGCGGCATGAGGACTAGCGATATCGATGTTGGCAGAGCAGGAAGAGTTTGTTGACGATGTGGTGGCAGCAAAAGAAGCCCCTATACGAGAAAGATTCCTGTTGCTGCTACTTTTGTTAATTTTGCTGTCGTTCATGTTACTCCAAAGCGGGGGCAATGTGCGATCATACTCGCTGCGCAACACCGGATGTCCAATGACGTTGCGTGCCTCCACTACGAGGTTATCGCGTGCATCCGCATTCCACTGGTCCACCTGCCTCAGCTGCTTGTACTCCTTCTGCCAGCGGCGGTAACTCGCGATGATCTCCTCATGTGAGGCATTACGTGGCACACCGAGCACATCGTAGTACGTATCGGGTATGCTACGGTGTGGATAGCGGCAGCGGACGGGTAGTCGAATGCGAAAAGCCTCAACGCCGTCGTCTCGTCGTGTACCTTTGTGTGGAGAGACGTCCTTCGATTCATGCACACTGCCAAGAAAGAAACTGTCAGTGCTGGATGCGAGACTGGAGAAGGAGTGCTCAAACACGTTACTCCCACTCAAGTCGTGTGGGCGAATACCTCGCTTACCACGGCGTTGGGCGAGTAATTTTCCCTTCTCCCCACGCGTTGTTGTTGTTGTCGTCGTTGTCGTTGTTGTTGTGCCTGTACGTGTCATGTTTGTCATGAACGCAGCGCGGAGCACCGCCGGTGTGTGGTCTGCATTGCACAGAGGTGTCACAAAATGTTTTGGAATACTCTCTATCGGTACGGCGGAGAGCAATTTCTCTTGTGTGCGACTGTCCAATTCAGCATAGTGGTGGGCGTGCTCGCAATGGTTATTGTATGGGCACTCTGCGGCTTCGTAGAATGCCACACAGACGCGCGATTTGCTACCACTCATCACCGGCGATGCAGCAGCACCAACACCAGTGATCGTATTAGTTGCAGCAGCTACAGCAGCAGCAGCAGGAACAGAAGAAGAGGGGGTTGTAATATCCATACCATGATGACAGGTGCCATCATACGGAACAAACTCCGTTGTACTCACTGAAAACGACATGTTAAATCTGGTTTTTTTTTTGGTTTTTTTTTTCCTCGCCTTTCTCTTATTCTTCTTACTTCACTCCACAGAGAAATATATATGTATATATATAATGCTGTGAACGTGCTTGTGTAATCCACTTCTATGAGATGATAAAGGGGGAAAAAAAGAGAAAAAAAAAAAAAAACAATATATCATCTATGGGAGACGCAAAGTACGTAATAATAAAATACAGAAGAAGTGCCACTACACACAAAACAAATCAACAGTTCAAAAAATACAAACCAAATGAAAAATGTCGCAAAAGCCACTTTCACTCTTTTTCCAAAACACAGACACACACTCAGATTATAACCGATATACAGACGTGTACGCCTCCACGCTTCAGAATACCACTCTACAGCACGAAACTCTTTTTATCCAAAAGGCAATAAACATTCTCTTATGGCAGAGAGCAACATTACAAAACCTTTCCTTTAACACACCCAACGGTGTTTTTTTTTTTTTTTTTTTTCGTTTTCCTTATTCCTCTTGTTCACTAGATATTTAGAAGCGATTCTACGCCTCTGTATAGAGCAAGATACCATTGATCGAAACTGGGCTACTTTATAAGACTGATACCAAGAAGTTCATAAAGATATCGATATTGCCGCGTAAGTCACTCCTACTTTTTCTTCTACTATATATCTATATATCTATATATATATATACTACCACCCCTTTTTTTTTCGTTACTCATATACACCCACAATAAACCCAAATATTCCCTAATGATTGACAGATATTACCCCATTAACTTATACCTCTACTTATTATAACAGTAGCAACTGTTAAAACAATAACTGATGCCACTGAGGTTCCTCCAGATACGTGAATACGCTGGAAATTGAGTGCAAAAACATGTCAATACAAACCATGCAGAACACGGACTGCAAGGGAGACAGTTAAACAAATAACAAAAATAAAAGTACAAAGAAATAATAGATCTCTCATTTCGGTGGATCCTGTTTCTGTGGGTTATTTTGCACCGAAGATTTTAGCTCAGCGATAAGATCTTCAGAAGTCTTACCACTATAACGTGCACCAGGTTGCATGCGCTGGAGGTCCTTGTCTACAGCAAACCGTTTATTCAGAAATTTCTTCAGCATATCACCACGTGCCTTTTCCAAGTCATCCCGAATTCGATCTTTACGTTCCTTGTATGCGGCCGTCTCCCGCGCCATGCGTTCTGTATCCATTCGTTTTAATTCTGCCATTTCCTCTTGCGTAAGTGCCTTTTTTCGCTTGTCAAAGTCCTCACGCACGACCTGTTCCCAAGGGCTATTGTAACCAAGACCCTCTCTACCTATATTTTGATCTTCGCGTGCAACTTTCTTCACCTGCTCCGGGTCAAGTTCCCAGAAACGCCACTCATTCCATTTCTGCGCCGTCTCCACCTCGCGCCACGTGACCTGTAGGATGTACTCCACCGGCCATCCCCAGAAGTACCGCTTCTCCAACGTACACCAATCATCCTGGCACTCCTTGATCCCATGATTGATGCGTTTCACCAGTGTCATGGCGATGTTGTAGTACGTCGTCTCAGGGGGGATGTCAGAGGTAGTGAGAAACGCCTGCAGCTCAGCTGCGGCGGCAAGCAGCTTCGGTTTCCACAAGGGTTCCACCGCAACACCAGCTAATCCAGTAGTGGACTTCACTGGAAACGCACGTGGTATGTACTCATCACTAATGGTGCGTAGCACAGTTGTGCGGCGCAGTGCAGATCGCAGCGGATGTGAGCAACGCATGCGCTTTACAGAATTCTACGTACTACCTTTTTTTTTTTCTTTCCTCACACAGCTGTAGTAATTAGCGGTTAACACAAGAAAAAAAAAACCTATACCAGCGGAGAGGTCCAGACGTGGTACAGTCTTTTCGTCTTATGCACTGCAACAGAAACAAGATCTTCCTTTTTTTTAAAAAAAAAAGGAGGTAAAGGAGGTATCAAACGCAGCAAGGGAGAAAGAAACCAACGGTCTATACCGGACGTCTGAATATTTCAAAGAAAAAAATCAAACACAATCAGAGATATACTACAAACACAGCATCTGAACTGAAAGTGAGGAAAAAAAAAAAGAGACACCAGCAAACGAGACCCATCTCCACCTTACATGATACAGAGAGCAGAAAAAAGAAAGAAAAACCGCTCTCACATCTCTCCTCCGACACGATTTGCTTCCCTTTCTTTCTTTTTAATAGACAAAGAGCATCCGCACGGCAATTATAAGGCACCCAAGCGCCACCCAAACTGAGAGACGATCTCCAACAACACTACATTTGTAAAGGAACTTGCGATGCAGCTCCGTATGATCACGATGAAACACTGTGGGGCGGTATTGTCGCAAATATGTTGCTGTGCAAATTACAAGAAGGAGCACATATGCTATGGTTTCAAAGTCAAAGAAGGCACTCATGCCAATCTACCTCGTTTCTCTTCCTTTCCTTTCCTTTCCTTTCCTTTCCTTTTTTGGTTTAATTTTCCCAGCCTCAAAATAGGCTTTCCATACAATAAGAAAAAAAAAAAAGGGATGGGAAGAGAAATGGAGATGATGGGAGGGAACAATTCACTCTACGTGAGTCTCGAAGGAGTGAAAATAATAGACAAACAATGATGACAGATAAATTGACTCTGGTAGAAAGCATAACAGTAAGGCGCAATGTCGTTCTATCATGCAACAATAAAAAAAAAGAAAGGTGCAGGTAGGAAATAATAATAAAAAAAGAAAAAAAAAACGCAATTATCTCTTTATCTTTCACTCCATTTCGCCATACGTGTTTATACTAGCACAAAATCATTTTTTTTCTTTTCCTTGAGTGATACTGGGGCTCAACACACTGGCAAAACAGGTAATGAGGCACGCACAAAGGCGTAATAGCACCCAAAGAAAAAACAAAAAAAAACCTCATCTCTTGACACACAGCAAACAAAAATGAGTAAACTAACTTTAAATACTTGGGTAAAATTGTAAATAATAATAATAATAATAATAATAATAATAATAATAATAATAATAATAATAATAAAATGAAAATAAAAACTGTTTGCGGATGTTTTACCGTGTCTGCCCAATCCTTGGAATTTCGTGTCTGCAAGTAGGGCAGCAGTTGCTGCGCAGAAGCCACCGGACGATGCAATTATGATGAAATGTGTGTCCGCACTCAATCTTTAGTACCATTACCCCAGGGGCCAGTGTCTCAAGACAAATCGCACAGGCCTCCTGAGAAGAACTTCTTCTACCACTCTTGGTATCATCCAATGGCTGGACAGCAGCGTAGGGGACGGGTTTCATGTGGCGAAGCTGACTTTGGGAAAGACCAGTCTTTTTCACACCGTTGTCAAGTCTTAATAGATTTTCATACGAAAAATCATTGATTTCCCAACCATTATCATTCCCAGTTCCTCTGCGAGTGCCTCCATTCACGTTACCTTCACCAGACCGTGGCACCCGCGACCATCCTGTTATAATGTCAAAATTAGATCCACTACTGTTAATGTGGTGCCCCCGTTGACGGGGCTGTAGGACTCCACGCTCTACGTGAGCTGTAACTTGAGGTGCTTCAGAAGAAGAAGCCCGTACCGATACCAAAACACGAGTAAACCCTGGAGCCCCTTCGCCATTGCGAAGCTCCATTGTTTCAAGCATTGATGACCTCCGTCCCTGTTCTCTTGCCATCGCCGCTGCTGCCGCTTCAGCAATCCCAACCTGTGTTGCGAGAAATTCATCAAATGCCATCATTGCCTCACTGTGGTGAATATTCAACATTGTTGACGCCAAGCTAGCAAGAGTAGGCAAACCAAGATCCTCAGGAATTATCTGAGAATGTTGCTGAGGCCGTTGATGTTGTTGTTGTCGTATTGATCCTCTCGCTTGGGAACGCACTTGAGGTGTGTTAACAGTATTTCGCCCCCCTTGTGGTGGGGCCTGACTGCGTGAATCCCGCTCCAATTCCCGTGCACCTTCCCGAATTCGCAAATCAATGAGGGCACGCCGACTGCCTCGAGACTGAGCTTCCGATGGGCGCGTGCTGTGAAGTGTACTCCCTTGAACACGCCTCAGTGCTGAGTGCGATGGCAAGATATCTTCTGGTATAGGCCACTGCATAAACATAGAATGTGGGAAATCTCTTGCATTGGAAACACGCAGTCGCTCTTGCTGGGCAACAATATGAGGGGGGAGGGCGTTTATCCAGTCAATGCCATCGTTTAGATTGCTGAAGTTGGGTCGATGCGCAGCCATCACCTTCACTTGATCGTTTGACCTTGATCTATCTTTTTTCTACATAACACAAGAAGGGCGAAATGAACAGTAGACGATATATATATTTTATTTTTAAAAAAAAACCATTCAAACACATAGAAATATAGATGACACAGGCTAAAAGAAGAAAAAAATATATATATATATATATATATATATCATCTATGTTTGTAGCAAAGATCTAAAGCACCTCACCATGCATATCCGTGAAAGAAAATAAGAATGGAAACAGTAATGGACAAAAAAAAAAAAAACAGTTCTCCGGTTGAAACTTTGTCATCACCCATTGATGTCGTACAAATTATGAGGGTATTCTCAACCTTAATCTTAATGATTATATGTTGTCAAGTGACTTTCGGTAAGTGGATCTACAGCATCAGTCACTCTAGGCCTGGGTGGGAGTGGTGGTGGCAAGTCAGTTGTCCACACATCAAGAGGCTGCACAGAGCGGCGATTCTCAAAATGAATTGTGTCAGCATGAGTCCCTTCTCTAATGGACAAAGTATCATCATTCACACTTGATACTTCTTGGCGATTATCAAGTTTCTGTTTCAGCTCAAGCATTTCAGCATGATATTGTTCCACAGTAGCCTCTGCGGTTCGCAATTTTCGCTGGAGTTTGGCTTGTTGTTCAGACATAGCACTACCACCTGAAGCAAGTCCCACGAGACGTTTAGCCAACTTCTCAGAGTGTTCTCGTAGGTGTCGTTCATTTGCACGAAGCTCACGCAACTCCCTCATAAGATCCATGTGCTTCGACATACTCACAGTTTTTGACTTTAGCATATTGTTCTCATGCTGAAGCCGTTCCACCACAAGCTTTAAGTTTTCTACCACGGACTCTAATGCCTCTACTCGACTGCGTTGTTGAAACGATTCCCCGCGTTTTGTTTTTGTCGAATCAACTTTAAGAATATCCTCAATGTGGCGTTGTAAGCGTCCAACTTTAAGCTGTAGAGCTTCTTGTTCGAAACGTAAATCAAGAATAGTATTATTTTTCTCCAACAACTCCCGCTCTAGTACCTCTTGGCTGCCTACCTTATCGGATTTAACAGGCAGAGAAGCAGTAAAATCAGTTGATAAAGTGGTGGATGCAATGCGAGAACGGTTTATCTCAGCAGTCAAACGCTCATTTTCTGCAACTAGCTGGTTAACGCGTTGTCGCATATTATTAAGTTGAATTTCCTTTACTACGTTTAGCTCCCGTTGAAGTGACTCAATAATGCCTTCCAAGTGGAGAACTGTCCGCTTGTGGGAACGTATATCAAGTGGGGAAGCCATATGAGCACTATCTACCATATCCAGTTGACACCCACGTAGTTCTTCTAATTCCTTCTTGTAACGTTCAGCATCCCTAACTGCTTTCTCAGATTCTGCTGCACGTTTCGTTATTTGCTCCACCTGTCGTCTAAGTTCTTCAGTTTCTTTTTGACCTTTGTATGATGATTGGTCACGAACACTCACTGAATCTGCTGACGGGGCTTGCCCAGGAACAACAGGAAGAGCAACTACAGAAGGAGTGACCAACGGTTTACTCCGACTTTCAGACATTTTTTGGTTCTCTTTTAAATTATCTTGTCCACTCAAACATTCCCGCGCCATTGCAAGTTTCTTTGCCTCACGATCGTCTTGAAGAGTATGTATCTGAGCTCGGAGAGAACGACTAGTTTCACGTTCTCCACGAAGCTGACCACGAGAATCCTCCAAGTCACTTTCCAGACGCCGCACAACAGCTCGCAATGAGGAGATCTCATGTAGATTGTCTCGCTGTGCCTTTTCAATCTCCCGTCTGAGCAGTGCTGCAATTTGAGGCTGCGCTAGTGCGTTTGCATCAACATCAGTAAGTAAAGTACGAATATGAGTGAGAGAAGTAGCAGAATGAGGTTGATGTATCTTCTTTTGTTGTTTTTGCGTTTGGACAGGTTGTTGTTGTTGTTGTTGTTGTTGTTGTTGTTGTTGTTGTTGTTGTTGTTGTTGTTGTTGCAGTTGCTCTTGCTCTTGTCCCTTTGACGAGGATGGCGGCGGTGGCGGTGGTCGGGATTGGTCGTACCTTACTGCCGTTTCTTTTGAGGCAGAATGTTGGGTCCCTTCATCTATTGTAGAAGAGACCTGCGGTACCTTTACACGTCCAATCTTTATTTCCTGCGATGGTAAAGAACGGGAGGCCAACTCATTCTGAAGTCGCAATATCTCACGTTCCTTTTCCTCCAGTTGTCTATGCAGATCGTAGGCCATCCGCTGCGTTTCTTCATATTTCTTTAGTGTTTCTTCCTCACGACGAACTCTCTCCTCCAACTCACGTTGAATCGAACGCAATCGTTCAGTGACCACCTTAAGTTGTTCAGTAGACTCCAGTTGGATTGTTCCCATCCTCTGTGCCAGTGCGAGTTCGTGCTGCTGTTTGTGTGACATATCACCACGCTTCTGTGCTTCTTCTAAAAGTCTTTGTTTAAGCATGTTAGTTGCCATGACCAGTTTCTCGTTCTGCTCTTCCACACGACGGATGTCGGCTTTCAAATGATCATTCATCACGACAAGTTGTCGTGCACCTTCAATCTCGGCTTGCTGCGCCACAACTTCCTCACGCAATGCATCCAAATGAGTTCGCCATTGAGTACTGTCCAATTGCATCCGCTGTGCATTCTGCCGTTCCTCCTCTAACTGCGCCCGCGTCTCTAACAATTGGCTCTCCACAAAAGCCAGCTGCCCTCGAAGTTCCTGCTCAATAATGGAACCCATCCCAGTCGTCCCCACCTCAGCAGCTTTCTCTAGCCCTACACCATGTTCCACAATGTGCTGTCGAACCTCATACAACTGTTTCTCCAAGAGATCTTTCTCACTCCTTTCTCGTTGTAGTTCTCGAGTTAGGGTAAACTCACGCTGCCGTAAACTCTCTATAATAACATTTTGATCGCCTATAACACCAACAATAGAAACCTCTCCTGCTGGCATCTGTGTTGTATATTGTTCGCTTTGATGAGCCTCTAAAAGCTCTTGCTGTGCTTTAGTAACTTGATCATTCAATTTTCCTTCAAGAAGAATGTTTGTTGCACGTGCATCTCGTAGTTCCGATTTAAGTCGAAGTGTTTCCTTTGTTAACAACATGAGTTGTTCAGCAACTCCATCGTGTGGTGCAGTATCCGCATCCGTTGTCATTGTATTGTATGTATAATTCTCTGCCACACCGCTAATGGCTTCACGAAATCGTTCCATCATAGCATTATTTTCTTTAAATAAATGATCATGTAACCGTTCCATTCTTGCAGACTCCCCTAACTGATACTCAAGATACTTTTTGCGCTCAGTCTGAAGTTGCTCCTGAAGTTGTTTAATACACATCTCCTTATTTTGAAGCATATCACGTAAACATTGATTGTTGTGCTCTGCTGCACGTTGTGTTACTTCCGCTTGCGCCTCATGTGACCGTATTAAACGCCGTTCACGATTCTCTGCTTTTTGTCTTTCTTCTTCTACATTACGTTGGGTATATTGTAGACGATCATGTAATCGATTAACCTCCTCTTTTAAAGAATCTGCAACTGCTTGAGCTTTCTTGGTTTCAACTAACTCGTCATCCAGTCGTTTTTTGAGTGAGGCACACTCCCTTGATAACTCCGATTGTTTATCTAACGCCTGTTTGTACTCGCGAATAGCAGTATCAGCTTCTGCATTGTCAAAATCACGTGATCCAGTCTCATTTGGTTGAATAATTATTGCTGGAGACTCTAACTTTGCAAACACGGTTTCCTTTAATTGTAGTAACTTTTGTAAAATATCTTCATCAAGTGATAAAGCACCTGTAGAACGTAATTCAAGACGGGTTAACTCTTCTGTTAACTGCTGCATGTATGTCTCTGACCTTTTCACCTTTTGTTGCATATATAAATTATCTTCCCTTAACTCAGCAAGTTGAACATCTTTTTCTCGAACTGCAGATAGTGCCGTCAACAACTTGGTGTGAAGTACATCTGCCCAATCCTCAGTGTCATTCACCTTAAGAATATCTAGTTGCTCTTGAAGAGTCTTAACCATTCCATTGCTTTCAGCAAGCTGAAGAGTCATCTCATTCTGACGTGCTTCACTACGATCAAGATCTGCAATAGAATCAAGAAATCTTCGGTGCATCATTTCTACACGATGTGGTGAAATAACTCCCTTAGCACTTCGTTGCACAGAACGAACATAGTCTAGCAAGGATACCATATGTTCAACATATTTTCGATAAAGACGAAAAGCACTAAGTTTGTACATTGTTCCTTCATTTACAGCTACGCGTAAATTTGCCTCAGTAGCACAGAGTTGCATGCGAGATCGTTTTGCACGAAGCAATGCCAACTCACTTTGACGACGCAGCGTTGCGTGTTGCCGTATGGCAGCAGAAACAAATTCACTCACCTTTCGTGAATCTCCAGCATCACGTACTAAAGAAAGTTCCTGCTTGGTAGCTTCCAACTGAATTTCAAGACGCTTGCATTCACCCTGCAAATCTAGAGAATGATGTAGTAAACCAAGGTTTATGGACTTGAGACGGGCAACATCACGTTCAAGAAGTTGTGCTTTTCCATTTGCAGTATTTCTACCATAGGTCTGATCTTGATCGTCTCGTCGTCGTTGATCTGCTTGATTTCCCTCTTCTTGTTGACAGGATGCATCCTCTATAACGGAAAGTATACCTTTTGTATTATCCTCCTTTTTAATACTTGTGTTATCTAGGTGTTCTTGCAACAAGGCAAGTTCTCCTCGCGCGTCTTCGAGATCAGCTTCCAGGGTTGATACTTCCTTCTCCTTCTCTTCATAACGCTTCATGTAGAGACTGCACTTTTGGCGCCACGTCGTTGCTTCAGTTTCCCACTTACCAGCATGAGAGGCATCAGAAACACGAGCTCCTGCATTTACATCATGCAATTTCTGTAAACGTTCCACCTCAATTCGTAGTTCATTTATTTCACTCTCCATTTCTTCCATCTTTTGTTTTCGTTTTTTGGCATCAATTCGTAGAGCGCTAAGTTCTTCTATGTTCTCCATACCATTATAAACCCGTTGAAGTTGAACAAGGTAGGCACTATCTTCTTTAAAAAGCTTTCCACTCAGAGAAGATTCAAGCAGGCGGTGCATCTCAGACAAGGTTTCGTTTTCCATACTTATAATGTTCGTAGAACGTGGCAAAACAAAACCTGTGGAAGTATCTTCCAGCGCATCTTTAAGCGATTTGAAGGTTGTATTAACATATTCTCTCAAAGTCTGTTCCGACCTTGACGCTTCCTCTTGTGTTTCCATTACACGACGCAAACGCTGAACTAGTTTACCTTCACGTTGTCTCAAAAGAACAATCTTTTGTAGTAATTCTCGAGTATTACCTGATTCAACACGTTTCATTACTTCTTGTAGGTCTTCCAAAGTCTTACTACACTCCACAAGTTTTCCGTTAAGTTCTTCATTTATTTGTTGAAGAGCAGATACCTGGTCACGAAGTTCCTCCTGCACTGCACGCGCTTCATTGAGTTGCTGTTCGGCTTTTGCTTCTGATGTACGAAATTTATTCACATCCTCCTTTACAACTTCGATACGGTTTTTAAGAGAGGCTATAAGCTCATCCTTCACACGTAATTGTTCTTCAAACGTACGAGTGATGGAAACAAGAGATCCAGTCCGAAGATGAGATACTTCATCACCTCGTTCTGCACATGATGGTAGTGGAGGTTCTATATTTCCAGACCTGTTATGTAGGGATACTTCTCCAGTATCTGCAGAACGTACTTCATTTGCCGTAGGAGTATAAGAAGATGTGTTGACTCCCAATGCCTCAAAAACGGCACTACGGTACTTGTCACGCTCTTCCATCAGCATATCTCGCTCCGCCATCACAGCCACCAACTGCTCTCGAAGAGCGGTTTGTGAGTTTGCATTATCTTTGATAGTAAGCTCCGATTGCTCAAGTAATTGAAGCGCACTTTTTAGTTGGTTCTTCAAACGCGACATATCCATAGACGTTTCATGAGGATCATCCATTAATGGTTGTGAAGTAATTTTATCTATTCTTTCTCGCAGAAACTGCAGAGCGGAAGTTGTATCTTGAGTAGAGCTAAGGTCTTTCTTTCCGAATGCCTCACGCAGAGCCTCTTCAATACGTTGTCTAACAAAGTCATTGAAATGCTCCATTTCCTTTCGTCGCAGTTGAAGTTCATGAAAATATTTTTCTTTATAATTTTCTCCATCCTCCTCCATGATTAATCTACCCGATTTCATTTGATCCACAACATGGTCTAGTTGCTTCAGCTGTTCTGAAGTAAGGCCTAACTCAAGTCGAAGTTTCGTGTCAAGGAGGGGTTGCAAACGAACCTTGTCCATCCAATATCGTCTTTCCTTTTCCAACCACTCAACTTCCTCTTTTAAAGTGGAAACCTCTTCTCGCAACGTTTCCACTTCACTAAGAAGAGGTGTACTCTTGGGGCGAAGACGATCAATTTCATCCTGTGTAACACCCATGCGAACACATAACTCTTGTAATGCGGCAGAGAAAGTTAAAGAGTCTTCCATTGCGTTAAGCCTTTCCCTTAGTTGAACATTTTCCTGTTGAAGAAGCTCCACTACGCGATTAGATTCAACCAATTCACCTCGGAGGTGACGAATACCTTCGTTTCCTTGTTCGTACTCCTTAAGGAGGCGTTGAATTTTGATATTCTCTGCATCTTGTGCTTCTGCTCGTACTTCCATTTGTTGTAATTCTATTGAAAGTCTATCATTTTCTTGCTGAATTCGTTGTCGTTCTATCAAAAGTTTCTGTATGGTTTGGTCTTCCAATCTAGTTTGGGTTGTTCCTCTTTCTGTTTGAGGTAATGGAACTGTGCTTGAAGAAGAATCACCTTCAGTAGTATAGCTTCCCCCTGTTGTCTCTACCTCTTGAAATCTTGTTGAAGTCAAATGATGTTTTAACTTTTCTCGCAAGCTATTGTTCTCTTCTTCTGATTGCTTTAACGAATGTTGAAGTTCATTTATGACATCTTTCATCCCATGATTTGCATCACGTACATGATGTAGTTCATCTTGTAAAGCCTCAATACGTTGTTTTTCTTCTTCAATAATATCACGATGGAGTTGCTGTAATTCCGTCATGTCACGCAATGCTTCCGCTTCTCGTTGTTCACAAAGTTCTTCCGCTTGGTCACGAGACCGAATGAGATCGTAATTCTCATGTTGTAATGTTCTTAATTTCCTCTGCATTCGTTCTAATTCACTCTCATTATCTCGTTGTTTTTTCTTTTCTAGGCGCTGAAATTCCCGCAACATATCCTCAGCTTTAGTAGATTTTTCTACAAGACGTTTATACCTGGCAACAAGGTGTTTATACTCAAGGCGAAATTTCTCATCATCTTTGGCAACATGTGATTTCTCAGCATCTCGACGTTGAAGGGTTTGACGTAGTTCATTGTTCTCGTGTCGTAAACGATTCACCTCACTATTTAATTTATCAAGTTTTTCCTTAATGTGCCTTATATCACGCATTTCACGCACAGAAACCTTCTGAGAAAGAGTATTCACATCATCATCTTTATCTTTAACATTTGTTTTATGTTCAAGAGTCAAACGAAGATCATTATTTTCTCGTCGTAGTAGTTCTACACGCGCCCGAATAGCCTCTTCTGCATCATGTGCTGCTCCTATTGAATGCTCCAGTTCTTCATTTTCGCTATTAAGACGCCTTAATTCATGAGAGCATGCCCTAGCAATTATACGAAGAAGACGCACGACAGGAATTGTATATTGTGGCTGAGTAAAGTGATCATCATCAGTGTTCCACGTCATATTCGACACACGTTGAACCCACGTATTAATTTCAGAAAAACACTCTGTATGTTCCCATTCATCAAAAGGAAGATTAGATAATGTCATCCATTCGATTGACCAAGCTTCACGGGAAGGATTTTCATCTTGATGTATAACATTCATGACGATATCACTAATATATGGATCTATGGCAGATAAATTAACAGAGGAATGTAAAACAAAACACTAAACGAGATCCTTTTGTCTCGTACTATCTTCTTTGTAAAGGCAATCACACCAGTCCTGACCTTATACCAACTGTGATAAGTCAAGAAATCGTGGTGCCTTTTTTTTTGTTGTCGAATACATCCAAACATTGTCATTATCACACAGGTGCAAAAAAAAAAAAGAAATACAAAAAAAAAAAAAAAAAAAAAAAAAAAAAAAAAAAAAAAAAAAAAAAAACGAAAAAAAAAAAACATTTACTTTGTACAAATAATAAAGTCATAGGTTACTACATCCCCCATTTCAACAAATAATAATAACACTACTACTTGAAGTAAATAATAATAATAATAATAATAATACATATGAAAAAAGATAGAATTTCATATTTTATAGCGGATCGCTGTCGCCAAACTCTTCTCTTCCCTTAAAAGAATCTCATCCTTTTTCTTTTATGCAAAGAAACGTGAGGTCATACAATTTATGTTAATACAAGCAAAAACGCCGGACGGTGCGAAATAGCAGGATTAATGCATTTCTTGTTTCATTCTTTAGCTTGATATGCCAAATATCCCATCGGAATAACCCACCTAAACGCCTTGTATTAAAAAAAAGAAAAAAAAAAAAAACACGAAACAG